TTTATAAATAAATGAGGTATTTCATATATTCCACAGCAGTGTGTCTTCAGTTTGGCAAATAAAATCCACTGACTCATGAAGGGTACACGGTGGAAAACATAACGTCTATATTTGCCGCATACCAGTCGAGGTAAATTTCACTTATTTAGCATTACTACTCACAAGTAACTGCGGAGCAAAGTGCAAAATTCAGAAGGCAGTCGAACACTTGGTCACTAATTTCTCACCCAGACCCTCACGGAAGAACTGATCCGGTGCGATGCTTCAGGTTGAATTTCACCGATAGATAACTGTCTTTTATCGGTTCTAGAACTAACTGATCGTCATTTGAAACGGCATATGAAAGACATTCTTTCATCAATTCTGGTCAAATTTAATCGTGATACGACAATAAGACTTCGTAATCTTAACTTCGTCATAGACAAGGCGCCGCAAGTTTGCTGTTACCTCAGTGGACCGCTATTTGAGAACACCAATACGCTAAACCAGTTTTGTGCGAGATTTTAAATACGCCTTTTCTCGTGTTCAGTTTCACTTTTGTGCGCCTCATGTCACGGACCACANCGGACCACAAAGGCCCAGAATTGACGGATAAAATGAGCTCATCAGAAGAACGTTTTAGCCCATTTCCCTATTCCCACTATTATATATAATCAGTATGGAGATCAGGAATAACAGTAAAGATGGATTTTTCCTTTCAGAATACAATCAGTAAGATGTGTCATTATATACGAGATGGAAACGTCGGATTTGTTTCTCCGTCTAGCGAGATAATTATTATACTAGAATAATGCTTAGCATTATCTTCTTGTATAATAATTATCTCGTTTCTATGCCTACTCTTTCCTTTTTCAATAAGCACCAAATTTATTTTGATATGCCGATTGTATAACACAAAATCAGTTTAATAACTTACAGATTTTCGATTCTTTNCTCTCAAATGCTTCAACACGGCAAACTCTCTTGGCGTCTCATATGTGGTATTCGGAGGGCTTTTCATCTTTTGCAAATCTGGTATCTATAATAAGCAGGCAAATAAACACCACCGGTATTAGTTAGATTGTAATCTCATAGTTCTTACTGGTTCCGGTATCGGAATGGCTCGTGGTTTCGGATTGGTCAACTTGAATGGGATGGGTTCTTGAAAAGATTTATTTAGGCTTTTTTACCAAAAACTATCAATCTTACTTGTGATCGGTAATACACCGCTGACTTTGGGAGTGGTCTTTGGGACTGGATAGTATTCATCTGTGTAGCTGGGCAATGCTGAAATCCATCTAAACATAAATGGAGTCGTAAGAAGGGAAAACTCCGATCAAGTCAACCAGAACCACGTGGGATCGTTTATCTTGACAACAATGGATGAACGCGACAACGATTAGAACGAACTTTTTGCAAAAAGTTATGACCCAGAGGTTTTCCCCTCTCCAAAAGCCCTAATATGTTCGGAGGTAGATGTGTTGGTCCTGAAAACCTTTCTCTCTGTGTGTTTATAACCGGCTATCACATTCCTTTCTAGGGAAAACCTCTCCCATCGCGTTAGTCTACTGCTCAAACGAGACTGTTCCCTTTTAGTCTCAGTCCTCAACTGGGTAGAAAAGTCAGCTCAAGTTAACTTCGCCAGTGGAGCTGCGAAATATGGATTGCATTCCATCTGTAGTGAGAGAGTTACGAGACCTGGTCCATCCGTATCGAAGACGCCGAACACATTTCAGCACTTAGTTATTACCACTTCCAACCGATATAAGTATAGCATGTTTAAAACTCTTTTTAGATTTCTTCATAAATGTTACAACAAAAGTTCAAAAACTGTTTATTTAGCCAACCATTGTACCATGGTGTACACAAAACTTACCTTTGGATTGTGTCCAAAACTTTCGTAGTAATGCCTATGGATAGGGTAGGAGAACCATGCAAGGTATATAATCGTACTACAACTGATGACCGTCATTACTACCAAGTTAGAGTGGAGAAAGCTATGAAACCGGAGGAAGACAAGAATTCTAACACCCCCACCCCCACCCCTACTACACTCCACCTCGAATATGGTTGCCTAATGAGCAGCACAAACCGCTGTTATCATTATTATTATTATTATCACTATTATTATTATTATTTACCAATCGGTTTCACCACTCGCAGTTATCCACTTTAGTCGGATCGATATAACTCAGTTTGGAAAATCCTAAGTCGTTTGCTATTGTCTAGACTGGACTCCTTTAACCTTATGGTTACATTTCTTTCTGACAAGTATGTTGTGTGCGTGTGCCTATGATGTCCACTGAGCGATACACTTAACTCATCCTCCTTTTATTTGTATATTGTTTGGGTACAATTAGTTGCCTTCCTCGCCCTAAGGAGGAGCTCGGTTAATCCATCACTCTCAAACCGAGAAGAGGAAGTTAACTGAATGGGGAAATTTCCTTGTTTTCAACATGTGATCATTGTATGGTAAACATCACGGCATTTTATACGTCTATGATTGATCGATTGATTGATTGATTGATTGATTGATTGATTGATTGATTGTAGAAAAATGGATGCCTCTTAGAATTCAGAATGTTTAGTTGGGAAATTAAAAGTTGATTTTTGTTTACCTAGTACCGTTTTCTAGAAGTTGTTGAAGAAAATAAACAGTATTCGATAGCTTCTATTGTTTGACAACGAGATTTTCAGCTCTCTGATCTTTGCGTGATAAACAGAACCGTCTCTTCGTCATCTTCGGATGTACACTAGTGAGAAAGTTGCCAGAAGCTGTTCAGCTGAAACTTACTGGTTGTGAAGTTCCTATGACTCATTATGTCCTTGATACTAATCATACTAAAGCCGTGGATGCACAAAATTGTTTGTTTAACTTTCAACAATCGTATCTACCAAATACACAATTGTACATGGTGGTAGTGGTGGCAGTCGATAGTCACTCGGAAACTTACACATTTTTTCTGCAACTTCTGTTACAACTGGCCGGAGCTCGTGTCCGAACGTTCATACTATTTGAATAACTACACTATCATCTCCCTCTCTTTGTTCCAGACAAAAAAATAGTCTATTTCTCGAAGCCTTTAACCCCTTCAGTCTTCGTCTTTCAACGCACTGCTATTTATCTTCACCGTCCAACTCACTGTACGTTCAGATGTCGATGCAGCTCGATAGCTAAATGCTTCTGCTCCCTAACACATGACTCCGCATTCAATATCATACCCAATTAGTGCTCATTCTACTGTTTGGAAACTTGCCAGGTTTTTGCCTCTTCAAACCTGAATCTTTATCTCGCTCTCAGGTAGTTGTATGTGCTGCAAGTTAGTCCACCTCCTGATAAGAATAAATTTATGTTCAGCATTTTGGGAGCCTCGTTTCTGTCTTCTTTTTCTGGTTCCCAGATGTTTTGCTCCCGATTTCCAGAGATTTTTGTTTCTTTCGACTTTTGTTTTACTAAGCTCATCTGAAAGCACCGATCTCTCTCCGTGGTAAAATGCCTCACTATTGTTTTCTGATAAAGTCACTGTTTATTCCCTCTCTCATATCGGTCCGGTTTAAATAAAGATTACTTTCATTATCAACAAGCAATCTACTTTTGTTAAGTATCTATTACGTAGTCATTCCCTTCAGATTTCAGTTCCCAGATTTCGTACTTTTCTACTCCAATCTTCTTTTGTTCCCCGAACTTCCAAGCTGTGGATCACCGTCCCACCTGCTAGTTTTGCCCCAACTTACAATCTCACACTCTTTAAGCACCTAATCAATAAACTGGATCTTACCTGAATGTTCCTCCACTCTCCCTTTTACAGTATACTATTTGTCTATGACGATTTCCCATTTTACTGTGATTCACATTGTGTAATATAAAAAGACTTGAAGTTAAGTTCAACAGAAATCCGACACCAGTAGTCGAAAGATATTGGATTGTTGCACTGTATAGCTTTTCATTGAAGAAAAACCTGAACCCAAGGTCAGGGAAAACCGGAGTCTGGCAAGAAACTTGCAAAAGACGGGTAGCTTCTGAAGCAGTGAGCCCCTATTAATCAATTCATCAGTAGAAAAAAAACAAATATCGCGAGAGATTACATTTTGATAAATCTTTTCAATCGATGACTTCAAACAAACAGGCACATGAATAATAGAATATATGGTTGTTTAATTATAGGGATTGAACGTGTACAAGCATAAAAAAATTACTAAACATAGAATCAGATGGTCAACTCCACTGTAATGGGATTGACTGAATCAAACATTTTGTGCACATGAGGTCAGATGATGTAATCTAAGAAGCAGCGTATTACTAATTTGCCGAAAGTTTAGCATTACACGTTTAGGCAACAGTGGTTTGGAGGACGAATCGGGGTCAACTGTGTGTATTGTTTTCGTGATATATTTTCTAACAGATGACTTTGGATTTATTCTACTGTGACCCATGTTCTTCCTGATCGAAATGAGTAATCAAACCATGGTTATTGTAATAAAACAGTAGCCTCTTAAGGAAACGGTTTGTTTATAGCGCAACAGAGCGTGTTACGCTGCTCTATGACAAAGAGATCTGCCCTCTCCAAATAGACTATATCAAAATACGACAGTGGTAGCTAATTGGTTAGGTCACCAGATTGTTGTGCCACGGGGGTCCTGAGTACGAACCGCTCCACCACCGTCCCTCCTCATTTCTGTACATTACCAGGCAGCCTTCAAATAGCCGCGGCCCCCTTCCTGAATGTTGACTGTGCATGGGCATAATAAACAAAATAGAAGTAAAAAGACATTACCATTTACGTTTAATACTATTTTTGCACAATCACTATGTATATATCACCACTAAGCTAAGATAAGTGCATCATGTGTTTACGGGATATGTTGCAAAAGATAGTTTTGCTTTAATATCTTGACTGAAGCATTCGGTAAGAATGCCTCAGACCAGATTGTTCAACTGTACTGCTTAGCAGTTAGAGGAATAGATTGGGACAACCAATCAGGATAGAAAGTCATAAAGTTGCCGCTGAGGCTTATCCGGATTCTTTTTGGGTACTCAAATTACCCAAATAGTTGAAAATAATGAAAGGATGTAGCATCAAATAATAATCCACATGTGCATCGGGAATTCCACCGCACTAAATAGTCAGCCTCACTGTTGCAGACTACCAGCCATGACAAAGCATTACAGAGCATAAGCGTAGAATTTTGCGTAGCCTGAACCCAGCTCCGATGCACCGGCACATGCACACACCGTTTCCCCCCAATCCGTGCATTCGTTCTCGGGTATCTATTCGTTCACCATAATGTAGATGGAGCAGTAAAATTTTCTGGCACCAGCCCGGTGGACGTGATTGAGACAGTCGATCAATACTGCACCAGAACTTCGTTCTATTCATAAAGAAATCTATCTACGCTTAATGATCAGTAATTTTTAATCAATGGTGGTCTGCAGCAAAAGCACTGAAAAATTCGAATCGAGTCATTTCAAAATCTAACTGTTTGGTGTATGCGAATTCCTGATGCATCTGTATGTATACCTTCTTGGAATATTTAATAGTTTGTCTCTCATGATGAGTTCTTGGAATTGCTTTCATTATGATCGCAACCACTGGGAGCTATTTCTATTGTCTGAGGGCTTGAAAACGATCGAATTTGTTTATGTAATGAGAGCTTTTACTCCAGAAGCAATCACACTGTTAAATTGCATGTGACATCCAGGGTGAAATTTAAGCGATTTAAATAAGTTAACGCAGGCAATTGTCCATTGATTCCATTGAAAAAAAAATTAACGTGCAAACAGCAAGACATATTAAAATTTACCTGTTAAATATTGCAAATAACTCCTGTTCAACAAATTCCGGTGAGTAGAGCTTTCGCAAAACATTTTGCAATTTGCTTATGTTGTTCGCATTGTAGATAAATTTGAGAAACTGAAAAAAATTGGACAATTTTCCGCTTGGTTCCTTCAGAACTTACCGCTTTGCGAAGTTCTGTGTTGATTCCTTTCAGTATCACACTGAACCCTTTGGCACCGATCAGATCCATTTGAAATAGAACACAATGAAACAAAACTGCAAGCATTTTCGATTTTCTGTAACCACAAAATCACACACGTACAAACACACCTAACACCTCGTTCTTTTGTGACGGTGGAATACTGATATCTGTGTCCTGACAGAATGTGTCCACAACTAGTCTCAGACACGACTTGAGTGCCAAACATGTTCGTAATATGTGGAAAGTCAGATCGGTTGCTGTTTCAGCTTCCTTCAGTATATGCTGTGGCCGTTAGAGGGCAAAATAAATCAACTGGACGCTATTTGCCTACCTGATGTACAAACTCCATCAGGGTGAAATCACTGACCGGATCGTCATGCCAGAAATGAGCATGAATAAATTTCACGGCCACAGTAAAACAGGTGCGAATCATTTTTTCAGTCATATTGCTGAAAGCAAAATAGGATTCGGGGAAAACGAAGTAAAAATTCAATGTGGGCTGTGAATTTGAATCACAACAAAGAAACTTCCAATTCACTCTGTCTTTCTCTCCTTTGTTCTTTCCCTGAAAGTGAGGATTGTGAACTGAAGCGATACGGGGTAAATGGTGATAGGAAAAAAACCATTTATCCCCATAAAAGCGACTATTTCTCTCTATTTGCCCCTATTTTTTCTATTATGCTTTTATAAAATATGAATTTCCAGATTTTCGCACCCAGAAAGACTGATACCGTACCACCGGCCATACTTGATTCCCGTTGGTGCATTTTTCCACAACACAATACTTTCCAGCTATTTTCCAAGGTCATTGATGGCCGGTCCTCAAACTGTCTATAAATACATGAGTTGTCCACTACCTTCGCCTTTTACGGTCTTGTGGAATATACAACTTCGTCCATAGGCCTGTCTTCCGCGTTCCCTCGGGTCGGGTTTCGGGGAACGTACTGCTTTCGTGAGGCGTTTCCTTCCAGTTCTATTGGAACTTGTTTGTGGTACCGCAGTCGGACTCACCAATTTGCCGTCACTATCCCGCTGGGTTCTACGGTTCTGTTTGTGCGTCACTGCTGCCGCACGCATCGTTGGTCATGGCTCGTGCCAATCCAGTCGTATCGTCCAACCCAACGTTACAACAAATGGTAAGAATTTCCCTAAATCTCAATGGGCTTAATAGTATCGGGACATAAACTCATAAATTCTTCTGTTCTTTCGATTGATTTATCCGGGCAAGAGAAACCATTCAGCGTTGATAAAGGCAACAAGGTCATACAAAGTCTCCGCATGTGGACATTAGCATCTCGACTTATAAGTGAACAGTCATTTTAGTTTGTGTCCAATGTCCTTAGTATGAGCTTAGACCTGGCTGGGTTGAAAAAAATTTATCGTGCGGTAGGCCACAACATAAACTGGGGTTGCCCTCTTTCGTTTGGTCACTTGGGAACTGTTGTCTTGAAGCTATCATAATTATGGTTGAATTCAATAGACTACATTCAAATACAAAGTTCACAATGGAGTTTGAATCCAACAACACAACCTATTTCTTTTATCTTGGCATGACCAGAAGAGAAGACGGAAAAATGATCCGATCCGTTTATCGAAAGGAAACCTACACAGGACAATATTTACAATTCCAGAGTATAAAGCGGTCTTGTTTGGATCTTATTTGACAGCCAGGGTGGAGGAAAACAAGAGGGTCGTCCTCATCCATGGTGTTCCACAGTTGGACGATCCAGAGGAATCTAAAAGTCATCAGAACGGCCGACGAGAATGGAGTTTCATCCAACATTTACTTGGTTGTATGGGTCTTCTGACAACCTCAATCAGTCGTCTTCCCTGCTCTCCAAATTACCATGGAAACGGTCCGAGGATAATGAAAGTTACCCTTGGCAATCCAGACGTGGCCAACACCGTCTTGCAGTTATGGCGAGAACGAAAGATCAGAGGGCCAGCGGAACTACGTGTGAGACCGTTAATCAATCCCAGGCTCCAAACAAATTCATATCCCGAGA